GCCCATTCGTGCAACAGCCGAGGCTGCTGCGTGGCCCTACCACCGTTGCGTGGCTCTACCACCGTTAATGGCCCTACCACCGTTACATATAGTTTTAAATATGTTTTTGGAGTTGTACTTCATTTGGCGCGTTTGGAAAAGTCTTCTCTATTGCGCGATCGGGAGATTGGTGCGGGTATCTACCACGACCTCATAGAAGACCGGCATGATGTGAAAGTATTATACTTTTTTCGTGTAGTGAGTGAGGTAGCCGGACCCAACTTTATTATAAGGTGGCAACGCATCTGCAACCCTACGGGTATTGCTAATGTTAATGGGCGATGTTTATCACTTACCAACAGGTGAACCGCACTGTCAATATTTTGGACACACGGCCAACAATTGCTTCGCTCACCCTAGGTGCGTCAAATGCACCGGTGACCACGGCAGGACCGAGTGCAAGAGGCCGAAAAATTGCGCAGATCCACCGGACTGCGTAAACTGTCACGCCACCGGCCACCCGGCTAGTTATAGAGGCTGCGCTAAGGCCCCGAAAACTCCCGCGAGAAAATCTCCCGCGAAATCCACTCTACCCAAACTCGTAAAATACGTTCCCGCGCCCGTACCCGTCACAAACGCCTGGGCGAAAGCCCAGGTGGCCGCGCAGGTAGTCACGCCCCCGGTCGCCTCACGACCGATCGCACAATCGCAGCCCGCCTATCAAACGGCGCCGAGGCCACAGGTGCAGCCAACTCCGTCGGTTTTCGCGGAAAACAAGGACGACCCGTTCGCGCAAATCGCCAACATCTGCAGCCTATTAGACCGAATCAATAGGCAGGAACTCGCCGTATTGTCCGCTAAAATAGCGGCCGCCACATCTGGCAACGAGCGCCTTAGAGCAATCAGCCAACACAAAACGCTTGTAGAAGCCCTATGAGCTTTTACGAGCCAACCATAAAAAGACATAATAGTCCGCGCAATAAAACCGCGCTCCGCCGCATCGTTAATTAGAACCATAAAAACACTTTAATGGGAAGTACAACCGCAGGTAGAACAAAACCTCGGGCTCTGGTTGTTTCGTATTTCAACGCAAACGGCATAAAGGGTCAAAGGGACGAAATCGCAGAATTCCTTCGCGATTATAACGTAGATATTTTTCTAGTGCAAGAGACATTCTTAAAACCTAGTGTACGCGATCCCAGAATCGCAAATTACAACATTGTCTGCCACGACCGGTTAGCAAACATTCTGGGAGGCACATTAATTTACTATAAACGGTCCTTGCACTATTGCCCGCTCGACATTCCAGAGCTAAGTCAAATAGAGGCAACCTCGTGTAGGTTAGCACTCACCGGCCACAGGCCGCTTGTACTAGTCTCAGCCTACCTCTCGGGGAACAAAACCTTATTACAAAGCGACCTAGATACACCATTCAACTTAGGCCCTTCCGTGATAATTGCAGGAGATCTAAACTGCAAACACGGTTCATGGGACATCCACAGCATCCCAAATAACAACGAAAAGCATCTCTTTAGCTTATCCGATAATTTAAACTTTAGCATAATCGCTACCACGACTCCCACTAGGTATCCTACGGTGGACAACTACCAACATGCGACACCGAGTATCCTAGATATCATGTTATTCAAGGAGGTCTCGCTCGACATCGAGTGGATAGAGACAATCCATGAACTAGACTCAGATCACAGGCCCGTCCTGTGTAAACTGGGCCAGAACGCCGACGCGCTCCCTCCGACCAAATCCGTAGTGGACTGGCATCGTCTTGAGGTCAAACTCAAGGCCTTGGTCCCCCAGGACTTAGTCGACCTACCCGAGACGATAGCTACGTTTGATGACGCAAATCGAGCGATAGCAAGTCTCCGATAAACCATTACTTCCGCAGTCACAGACTCGGAACGGACGGTGAAACTGTCGGGCAAGCGACGGTTTAACTTTCCGCCTGATCTAAGACTGCTAATTAGATAGAAAAATGCAGCCAAACGCGCCTTCGACCGATACCGATCGGAATCGAACCGAACCCTACTTCGACGCCTTCAGCTAGAAGTCAAAGATCGTGTATCGGAACACCGACATACAACGTGGGACACTCTCCTAGAGGACATTGAGCTATCGCACACCGCCTACTGGCGGTTGGCCCGCAGTCTGAAAGCAGACCTCTGCGAATCTCTACCGCCGTTAATTAGACCTAATAGCGCTTCAGTAGCCCTAGATGACTCCGAAAAAGCCGAATGCCTTGCGGACAACCTAGAGCAGCAATGTACGCCATCGCGCGAACACACCGATACAGTCCACCTAACGGAGGTGGACTGCGTAATCGAGACTAGGGCTGCGCTTCCACCGGAAGGCGATCCTTTAAGTTCAGTGACCCCCGAAGAGGTCCAAGATATTATCAAAAATTTAAAACCGAAATCCGCCCCGGGTAACAACAACTCAGTACCAAAATTCTCAAAGCTCTCCTTGGGCCGCTTATCTGTTTACTGGCGACCATTTTCAACACTCTACTCTCCAGTTGCTCCTTCTCGGACGACTGGAAACAAGCCACGGTTATCGGCATTTACAAGCCGAATAAACCAGCCAAACAGCGCTCTAGCTATCGTCCCATCAGCCTCCTCAGTTGCCTGGGGAAGCTCTACGAGCGGCTCTTATTAAACAGACTCAAAGAGCACGTATTTTCCAATGGCCTTCTGCCGACGGAACAATTCGGCTTTCGAGCTAGACACTCTTGTCCCGACCAGTTATACCGCCTAACGGAGCACATCATAAAAGGCCTAAACCACCCGAAACATATCAGTACAGGGGCTCTTTTCCTCGATGTCGCAAAGGCATTCAACAAGGTCTGGCACAACGGCTTGCTTTACAAGCTATACACACTCAAAGTGCCCGATAGGCTGGTACACACCATCCGGGCCTTTTTGTTGAATCGCTCTGTTCGATATCGAGTCGAGGGCACCCTCTCCACAAGCCTCCACCTCACGGCCGGCGTACCACAAGGCTCCTGCCTCTCACCTTTGCTCTTTACGCTCTACACGAGCAACATACCCAAAGACTCCCACGTCAATCTCGCGCTTTTCGCGGATGACACCGCGCTCTTTTATTCAGACCGCAACCTTAGAATACTGACCACTCGACTCCAAAGCGCCGCCGACCGCCTCGGCGATTGGTTCCGCAACTGGAGAATAGAAATAAATCCCGAGAAGAGTGTGGCGATTCACTTCACACGAAGTACTTACCCGTCACATCTTTATAATGGTCCTCGTCAATTCAGAAAGTTGGGGCAAATATCCCTTTATGGCCAACTGCTCCCCTGGGAGAAAAAGGTCAAATACTTAGGATTCACATTCGACTCGCGTATGTCATTTACTACGCACATTAATAACGTTCGTAATAGAGCCACGTTCGTCTCCGGCCGGCTACACAACTTAACTAACGCTAAAAGTAAAATGACCTTAAGGCACAAATTATTATTATATAAGACCTGCGTACGACCCATTATGTCCTACGCATGCATGATCTTGGCCCACACGCACACTACTCCCTTGTACAAGCTGCAAATAGTACAAAATAAGTTCATCCGCCGTGCAACCGGTGCGCAGTGGTATCCACGCAACGATCTGCACAGCGATTGCAGACTCCCGACGATTCGCGAATATTTTAAAGACCTGACCAAACGGTTTTTCGATAGAGCCGAACATCATCCCAACCCTCTGATGGTAAGCGCAGCAAATTACCAACCCGACACAAACGCGAACGTCAACAAGCGTCGCCCGCGAAACGTCCTCATCGACCCGGTCGAGGAAGGGGACTTAGATACGCCGGACCCACCGCCGGGGGTCCCGCCAGATAACACTACACCCACAGCTAGTGTAACAACTAACACAATAGTTCGCACTCGCCTCCGAGCACGGCGAGACCAACACAACGCGTACACAAGGTACACCCGCGTTCCAGGGCGGTTCTCACCGCCCCCAGCCACCGATTAGCTAAAAACACAAACGACGGCCATCGGGGTCTCGGTCCGCACCGCAACTTCGATGGCCCTTAGATGACATGTCGTAGTTAAACGTACGCATGAGTACATGCGCGGCCCTACCCACAGCGGAGGGCCCAAACCCGTGGGCTCTGGCTAGCCCACCGGTTCTGCGTCAGATGAAGCTTTAATAGTCTCGGGACTGAAAGCAAAAACATCAGTTAATACAAGAATAATACAAGATAAGGTGAACCGCCAGCTCGTTTGCCACTTTCTCACATTAAAAAAATCCATTGCACCGTTTGGGCTACACTGTGCTAAATAATATATAGGTACCGAGTTTATTTCCATAATAATTGTGTTATATAGTTTTATGCATACTTTAATTATGCGCTCAGGCCATGGTTCTGTCATCTGTCGGTCCACAATAATAACCATGATTAATACAATAACCAGTTCACAGTCCGTGTCTGGGGACCTACTTCTATGTAAATACTGCATTATAAGAATAAAATTTCTCGCTACTGTGCTAAATCGAATTGTACTACTGCTACGAGTTGTTCTGTACGAAACGAGACACATAGGTATACAAATATAGGAGTATTGAAAATTCTTGTTACTATCTAAAAAAAAACCTTTCAACAATATGCATATTTACAATTATAACAAAACTAAGAATAGACGATTTCAAAAACAACTGTTCTTTCTAATCAATATCTAATAAAAACAATCTAACCAAGGGTTTTCTTTTCCGTTAAAAAAAATTATATAAGATTACTTGACAAATGACAAGTCAGTAATGCAGTCTAGTACAGATTTTTTTAAAGTCCCCGAGACGATTACGGCTCGAAACGTTGCCGCTAAATTGTTTAATAAGTTTTTTCCTCTTACTCACTCACTTGTGTTAAAAGGTAAACAAGTTCTTGTGAGGTCACCACACAATCGCACGTTGTAAGTTGTTCACTTGTTCAGTTAGTTAGCTTGCATCCGCCGTTGAGATCATACATAACGCGTGCGTAGGTTACAAAGTAAAATGAAGACTGCGTTCGTTTTGCTAATAGTGGTTGTCGCGTGGATTGGCGATGCCTACTGTAAAGATTTAATTGTGGGAACTAGTTTTAATAACAGGCTTCTATGGCAGGAAAAGGCAGAGTACAACGCAATTCCCCTCAAGAAAAGAGTAAAGGAAGTATTCTTTTCAGACCCGGGCCAGCAGATAATTAAGGTGAGTTTTAAAGAAACTTATTTTTGAAACTTTTAACATTTGCTCGAATGATTTTATAAATTTATATGTACTGGCCCGAAATTTAAAAAAAAATCTATATGATGGTAGTATTATATTAATGCATTTAAGGGTACAATAATATTTTTTGGCAGGTACTTCCGATGTTATTCTAGCCTTTTTTCTTAATGCTTACATACTAGAAATAGTTGTGAATCATTGTTTTAACTAAACAAATTGTGTGAAAATAGTTCTAGTGACTATATCAGTATAGGCATTGAGTCCTATGGCTAAAGTTCCACGAGTGCTAATGGACGCATAATATTAAAAAAAAAATCATTTAAATCAGAAGTATGGTATAACTAATAAATATATACATAAAGTTCATATTGAAGCATATAGAATAGACATGTTATATTTGAGTAAAAAGTTGTATTGAAGTCTTCATTTCAATTGAATCTACTAAAAGCATGCCCGTGTACTAATAATTTATTTATGAGAGCCGCTTCTGAAGATTGTCATTCCAATGTTCGCTTTGATTGTTAAATACAGTCACCATTAACTGCAATGTTCAGCGATCTGTCTTCATTTCGTATATTTCTGTCTTCATTTATTTTTAATATTAAATAAAAACTTAGTCAAGGTAGCAACTTAATGGATATATGAAAAGTATTATTTTATTAAAAAAATCTATGGTTTTTATTTATACGACATTGAATAATTTCTTCTTCCAGGGGATCATTGCTCGAGATCTGGACCACACAGATGCTATAGCCACTGTCACAGCAGGAGGAGTCGGCTTCTCATACGCGAACATTAGATTGAAGAGCGATAGAGGATCGGGTCTTAATTATCAAATAGAAATCTACATATAAATTAAGCAATAGCTAATTAATATAAAATATTTATATACAGTACTGTTTCTCAAATAATTGTATAAGTAAGTCATATATCAGCAATGTCTTAAATCTGAATATAATATTATTTGTATATTTTTAATAAGCATAAAAATGATGAAACTGGTTGTTTTTATTAATAAGTAAGTACATTTACAAGTCATTATTAAGATTTGTGGCTAAGAAGCAAAAGTACTGGCATAATAGACAATTTGATTAGATGCAGTTTTTCCAATCCTTACTTATCTTATCCTATTCTTACTGGATAGTCATAAACTATTTGTTAGGATGTAAATGACAATTGACTGAAATAAATTTAATACTACTTTGCGCCCATATAAGCTCTTGCGATAATCATTTACTGTTTATGCTATAAATCTATTGCAACTTTAAACTACATTTACATGACATAAAATGTCGATCCTCGCTCCATGAAAAGAGGTTATGAGATCAATGAAAAGGTAATCAATGACAGTTCTGGTGAGCATTTCGTCATCGTGCAAGGGCTAACTAAGTAAGGAAACAGGAAACAGCCCATTACTCTGCGTTGATGATTCATTAGTACGAGGCTAAAACAATAGTCACATGAAACGGCCTATACATATATAAATAATAATCAACCTGATCACCCTATTCATAAAGACAAACTAGATTTTAGTTGATGCTCTTAAATAAATATCTTTCAACACATTTTTACAATTAAGAAATAGCCAATGTTCTTTCTCAGGCTCTAGACTATCTGTGTAACAAATTACATTTAAATCGGTTCAGTACGTTTGGCGTGAAAGCGAGACAGATAGACAGAGTTACTTTTACATTTATAATATTAGTATGGATCTACGAGTTAGTAATGTTACTTAAGTACCTATATCAAAGTAACATTACGTATTAACCTATTAATGAAATTAATGTAGACATAATAACAATAGAGGTGGCAGAAATGTAAAAATCTGTAAAGTTTATTTTGTTCTTTTTTTATGTGCAAATTTGCCTAGCGAGCCGCCCATGGACATCTGCTACACCCGAGGGTTGCAGATACGTTGACAACCTTAAAATTTTTCAATGATTCATTTAAATTTTAATCATTGTACGTTGAAATATTTTTATTACTATAGGAAATATGATGAGATCCTCCTGGCAAGCATATAAAAATAAAGACGAAGACAACCTGTCTAAACGACTTACAAAGATAAAATGATAATAGCAGTCTTGTTTCTGTTAATAAAGATGTATTGTTGATTTAAAAATTTACCGTTCATAAAAGATTACTTTGATTTTGTTTCTTTATAAACTGTAAGACATTATTAGAATTTGACTTTGTATCGCATATATGCCATTTGTGCCTTATCAGTGGGTCTTTAGATAACCTTTGTTAGGTCATCTAAAGAAACGGTATTTCCCTCCAGTTTTGTTTTAGGTAAGTTTATCGAATATTTACAAGAAAATTATGCTTTAGTAATCAATTTAATTTTTTTCTTTATTACTGTATATTATATTTAATGAGTATATTTTACTAATAAAAGATATTTTTATTTGAACAGTAATGAAGCAATGGTCGTATTATAAAACTTCTCATAAACCTACCCATTTGTGCAACATTCTATACACGAATCGGCAGGTCCTTCCAGGTAAGTACTACAACCTTACAGAAGACCGGCGTATTTTTTTTTTTTGGCAGGATGATCCACTGTTGGCCTTTGGGGCCTTTACAGTTCCGCCGGACTTGAGGTGGTTGGGCGCTAGCCTGAACCTCGGCGTATTATTATTACGCGTTATGGTGACAACGGTCGAGGGCTCTCGAGGGACACTCGGCTCGGGCTCTCACGCCATTATTATCATTACCGGTTTGGGAAGCCACCAAACACTTAGGGCGCTTTGGTGGACGCTCCATAGAGTGACTAGGCTCAAGGGCCTCCCGGGAAGGGACCTCGGTTTGGGCTGTCACTCAATACCTTTTTAGCATTCCGATTCGAGGGTGCCCGAAAGGGCCAGGCCTCGGCTCGGTCGGTAGCTATTATCTGACTGTGAGGATTTATAGATTAGATATTACTACCACTTCGTAAAGCGTTGGCACTGGGAGAAGTGGCGGAAGAAACTCCAGTAACACTTCTATCATTAACGGGGGAAAACCTGCCAGGTACGTGGCGCAACCTAGTATAATTATGTTTGCCGCACTTGCCGGCGACAGTGCGGTGTGATCTGGTGTGTTTGCGAAATTGTTTTATCCCGTCCACGGCGATAGTCGGCCAATCGTCAGGGAAAATGAGGACGTGTTGTGGTCTGCGCCATTTGCGACGGAACGAACCTAACGGTAGGTGTCTGTAAATGACGGCACCTGCGACTAACGGTTTGAGATGCGCGGCGGCGGACTCGAAGTAGCGACGCGATTCCGACTTTAGGAATTGAGCAATGGTTGGTAGCTCTAAATGTACATGTAAGTCTATGTTCCGCATGAACCACAGTGCTCTCGTAGCTCTGCTTAAAAACGATTAGATTACCTGAAGCCTGGTATTTGCCTCGGCGCAATATGCGCCAAGACCTGACCCGCGTACGAAATTATAGGGTGAACTACTGCCTTAAAGTCATCTTATTCCGAAGGGAAATTTTTGAAGTTTTATTTAAAAGGGGATACGGGCGATCTAGTACGAAGGCCGCCAGGTTTTTGACCCGAGTCACGTGCTGGCTGAATTTGAGTTTAGAGTCGAGAACAACACCTAAGTATTTGATTTTATTTACCCATGAAACCGGACTATCCATAAGTTTAACGGGTGGAGGGTTAGGCACATTTTTGCGCGATAAGTAGATCAATCCGGCCGCACTTTTGGCGGGATTGATCTCGATCCTGCAAAGCCGGAACCATTCACATTCATTTTCAGTAACATGCAGTTTATATAATGTGATAGAAAAGGTTCACCAATAAGAACATATAAAGTCTTTTTTATGCAATTAATAATCCAACTCGATAAAATAATTTCACAAAAAAATGGAATTAGTTTGGGAAAAATGAAATTCACAAAAAAGGTTAAATGGTTTGTCATTTAACATTTAAATATTTATGTATCTATTTATGCATCTGCAGACTAGCCCGATTTACTTTTTGTCGAGTAAATTTATAACAAATTGAAAATTTGTGGAAGATTGCCCCCTGCATTGACTATACAGCTATATTTCTTAAAAGAATATAAGTAGACTTAGAAGACCAATATATTTTCCTATGGCAATTAAGTTACCATTAAGTTACAGATAAATTAATTTTTTTTTTTTCATTTCAGTCTTTTACTGTATCATCTGTTTGAGAGAAAAAATCCTGCATTTTAAAAAATTGAAGTCAAGCCTTGCAACAACCTAAAACAACATGAGGTCTTCTTGCGTAGATCAGAATAAATCAAATAACCTGTTCTGTTCCGTAATCATAGTAAAGTAAAGAAATCGAAACGTCTGTTATGTTCAAACAAAATAAAAACGATTAAACGCGTAAAATAGGTAAAACAATTATTTTGGTACAATTATTTGATTACGAATTAATTTTGGACAACTGAGTACTCTGCGTTTTAAAGTCAATTCGATGATAAAATCGAACTACTTTATACAAAGTTGCTTACGTTTCATGTAAATGTGAAAATTAAGTCAGAATATGATAGTTGTTAGTCAGCATTCTTTTTTTTAATTTGCCACGCCTAATAAACAGCTATTGAGTAAACTGAATTCATTCATTGCAAGCCAATGACGAAGAAACCTTGATGGTTTAAACTCATCTCTCAGATTCGGCTTAGAAATGTGATTTTTCCATTTATGTTTTTAAGTGAATAAACAATTAATGTCATAGTGTATTCGAAAAAAATATTATTTACATTTTGATTTCCAACACATGTTTAGGGTATTTTGGAATAAAAAGTAGCTATCGAATAAGGCTTTTCAAAAATGTAGTCGGAACCTTTTTGAATTGGTGCTTAAACGTTTTTTTCAAAGTCAAAGTCAAAGTCAAAGTATATTTATTCAATATAGGCCTAACTTAAGCTCTTATTGAACGTCAACAAAAATCTACCACCGGTTCACTAAACTAGACCTGCACAGAGAAGAACCGGCAAGAAACTCTGCGGTCTTGTTCTTTTTGTTATATATATATATTTTTTATGCAATTATACACACTTATTTGGGTATAAAATCAGCAGCAGCCAGGGGTCTTGCAAGTGCAGAGCAAGAGTCATTTCCAAACATCCTTGTCCTCTATGTATTCTTGGATATTATAATAAGCCCTTGCCATTGAGGTAGCTTTTACAAATTGTTTGAAATTGTTTATACTTAGTTGTTTGTGGATGTCACCTATTTTATTATAAAAGTTGATGCATCTTCCAAGAAACGACTTTCTGGTTTTAGCTAATCTAAACCTCGGTACTTCCAGAGTGTCACCACGGCGCCGACGCGATGTGGATTGTTTTTTCGTAAATAGGTCGATATTATTACGTACATACATGATGTTCTCAAGTATGTAAAGCGACGGGAGCGTCAAGACGTTTATTTGCTTAAATGTATGTCGTAGCGACTCACGTGGACCCAAGCCATAGACGGCCCGTATAGCCTGTTTTTGTAATACAAATATTGTGTCTAGACCGGATGCGGAACCCCAAAGTAAGACACCATAGGACATTATGCTGTGAAAATAAGCATAATAAACTAATTTTGCAGTTTCCTCATTAGTTAGCTGCCTGATTTTGCGTATGGCAAAGACGGCAGCGCTCAATTTCTTAGCTAACTTATCTACATGTAATCCCCATTGCAACTTGGAGTCAACGCTTATTCCAAGAAATGCTGTTGAATCCTCAAGGGGTAGGATTTTTTTTCTCATCAATAGAGATTCCTGATTGGTGACACAACTTTGAAAGAGTAAATCTAATACATTTTGTTTTATTGGAGTTCAAAAGTAAATTATTGGTAGCAAACCAGCCAGACACAACATCTAGTATTTCATTTGGTTG